AAACATGCAGCTTAAGAGAACAACAGTGAGAATGGGCGGAGGATGGAGTGAGCAGGCAGCAGCTTGTCTCAGGGCCCCACTCCTGAGGGAAGAACCAGTGTGGGCACACCCCTTGGCATTGAAAGGACTGCTTAAGAGTGCAGTGGTTTGGGGTGAGGAGATTAAAAATTCAAGTGTAAGCTAGCAAAAAAACAATGGAAGAAAGACTTTCAAAGCTTCGAAACCTTACCACTTAAGATAATGACAGAAGCGTATGACTGCTTCCTCCCTGGCAGAAAGGAGCTCAGTCAGAAGGCTGGAAACAACAGGCCCTTTGTAGCAGTGTGTTGTACTTTGCTTATTCTATTACGCATTGACTGGGAGATAAGAACAAACAAGACAACACCCTGTCTAACTCCAGGGGGAGGGGTGGGGCAAACTAGGTTTCCATCATTCCTGGGCATGTATGTGCAGGGCGCCTATCTACAGTTGAAGTACTTAGGAAAACTCTGCATGCAGAGTCAGGAGCTAGCATAAGCATGCAGAGGCTTCTATTGCACAACACAATCTTCTAAGAACAAGTTGTTGTAATAAGGGGCTTTACAGTATTTCTCCACCATGAAGAACATTGAGAATATTTGAGTAATTATCTCTCTAAACTCTTTGTCAACATTATTTTTTCAACAAGGAAAAAGAAATCCTTCAAAATTTAGGTGAGCAAATATATACGCCCAGCTTACACCCCCCCCCCCAGCCGTGAGCTCCAGTGTAAGCAAGAAACTAGAAAACATGGGGGGTCATCTTTCTCCCCTGGCATGTGTAGTCTCTAGTCTGAGTGCCAGGTACTGTGCCAGTTCCTAAAATGGAGATTCTGTTCAAGGACAGCAGCTGCTAAGCCCTGGGGCTCTAACTAGCAGGTCATGAGACAGTACCACACCCGTGATCCTGAGACAAAGCTGATCTCTGTGGCTATCCATGATCTCTGTCTCTGCTTGTCCTCACGTGGCTGACCTGAGCCCACCCTAACGAAGCTGCCCACCCTACTCTCCAGTCTTGGTCTTGTTTTCTTCTGTGTATTCTATTTTTCTCCCAGACTAGAATGTCCCTTCCCAGAAGAAGAGAGATCTCATCAACCCCACTTGCCCTTGTAGGCTTGGCAATTTAAGTACTGCATGTAGACAATGTGCTTGACAGAAATGCACCAAGACTAACGAGACAGCTACAAACAACCTGGGGAGCCAGCAGAAAAGCGATCAGAGCAGAGTCGGATACCTACCTTAGCCAGACATACTACCTTCACTTCCCCCATTCTACAATTTTCCCAGTTGGACAGAGGCAAGACTAAGATATGAACAGGGAAGCCAAGAAGCTGAGCAGGCTTTAGATGGTGCCAAATGACACCCTGGCACTGAGATAATGAGCAGGATTCTTGAAATTCAAATGTGGGGTGGGGGACACCTGGACATTAGCAAGGTGGCCCTGCCTTGTGACACACAACTCTGAACTACTGTTTGTCTTTCCAAACAGCAAGGCAAACACTCAGAGAGGTGAGACCGGGATGTAACTGTGATCTGCTGAGAGACAAATGGTGAAATAAACTCTTACAGAGGTAGAACTGGGGTGTTCATTTTAAGCAATGTTCATAAATCTCGTTCTGGGCTTTTATTCCACTGACATTATTGCTGTCATAGCAAAGAGTACAAGTGTGATGAAGAGTACCCTTTACATTCATTTCTCAATGACAGGAAGTTAGACTGGCCTTTCCATCTCAAGTGGAGACATGAGAATACACGAGGTCATAACAAAAATGGCAGAATATTAATCTCAATGGCAGGAGAGCTTTGTACACAAAGGAGACTCATTCAAAATGAGAACATAATTTTAGGAGCATCACAGTACTCACTTCAAGACATGCAGAAGGCAGAAAATTAAAGGAAACAAAACCAGAAAGCCCAAATGAGCAAAAGATTGGATGGAGTGGGTCATGGGTGACCAAATGCAAACTGGCAGGTTTCCTCAGTCAGACTAGAGCAGTGGTTCTTAAATTGTGGGTCGTGACCCCTTCGGGATCAAACAACCCTTTTACAGGGGTCACCTAAGACCATCTGTGTATCAGATTTTTATATTATGGTTCAAAATAATAGCAAAGTTGCAGTTATGAAGCAGCAAAGAAAAGAGTTTTATTGTTGGGGGTCACCAGTACATGAAGAGTTGTGCTAAAAATCATAGTATTAGCAAGGTTGAGAACCACTGGACTACAAGTGAAAGCATCTTCCCCTTTGAGCAGTAAGAAAAGTGCTGGGACAGAGGGAGAGCTAACTGGTCAGCTCTGGCTTTTGTAGTAAAAGGTGACAGAAACAACACAATAGAATATGGAGAAGCACTTTGCTAAGAGTTCCAATGCACTTTTGTTAAAAAATGAGTCCAAATCTCGGCTGCTGTTTGTGTCCTATTCACCTTCTTGTGAGTTGATTATCAAGCTTTAAAAAGTTGTGAAAACGTGTTTCCCTCATTTCACTGAAGTCACTCACTTGGCTCAAGAGGACAGTTAAGCATATTCATACGAACCGGGAAGAATGATGCTTAAACACTGTGTATCATCCAAACATTTTAAAAAATCCTTTAACACAGTTAATGATTTGCTTGTTTTTGTTCATGTGGGAATGCTGAATGCTGTTTGCCAAAGCAGAATACTAAAATGGTACTCATTATAATTAAAACCTAATTGCTAAAGAAGCCCAGAGCTATGGAATTTATGATCCTGCTACATGTTTATAAACAGGGATGCAGGAAAGAGTCAGTTAATTTACCAAGACGTCCTTTGACTTTCCAACACACTATAATGATCAGGACATGGTGACTTTTGCTGCATAGGTCTCCCGTAATGGTACCGCATGGTTTGGATAGTTTGCCTATCCCTGTGTGGAGCAGAGTTGACTTCTACGTGCGCCACTTTTGCTGCAATAGAGCCCTGAGCATAGATAAAGCAGTAGGTCCCCAGTACCCAGACTCAGCTGTATGTGGCTCGGGTGGAGGGATCTGTAGGAACAAGCCCAATAAATCAATAAATTTAAGTCAGAGTTTGGAAAACAGGACCCCCCTCCCTACCTTCCCAATTCTGTATTCCACCTGGGAGTAGACCACACATGACCACCCTTCCACAGTTCAAATGCAAAGAAAAGTAGGTAAGTGCAGGAAGCAGCTAACAGGGAAGGACAGGCTATTTCCTGTCTAATAAGGAAAGGTGAATGAGATAGGGGTTGCCTGGGGTGAGAGGTACTACTTGAGAACTGTGCAGCTCTCTCCTGAAGCTAGACAGCAGTCTTCTTGCTGCTGTGCTGTTAGCACCGATCCAGTTTTGACATTTGTGCCCAGCGTCATTTGGCCTTCAGACACTTAGGCTTCTTATTTTTTTTTTTTTAAAAAATACAGCACTAAGCATGCTTAAATCACCTTAAATATCTCAAAAAAAGCAGAAATTTTACCGTTGGCCTGCTTGGGCATGCAGACTTGGCAAGAGAAGCTTATAGAATGGCCTGCAGGCCGGCACATTCTAGCTCTGGCAGACTGTGCATCAAGGAGCTATCAAGAGGTTCTGTGCATGAAAGATACTTGGCCTTTGGTTCCCCCAGGCTAGAACATGGGCCTGTTAGCAAATATGCTCTGGAAAACAACACTCATAAAGCGCTAAAACCTCTCAAATAAATGTGACCCCTCAAAACCATATACAAATGAGAAGCATTTAATGAACAACCCTTTCTTCACCAATAACTGCTTAAATTAAGTCCAGGAAGCCCTTCAAAGGGACCAAAGAAGGCCTCTTGTTAAGAGCAACTTTATATATAGACATCAAAACAATTACATGATGCACACAACCAAACATATATAATTATCCTAGTTTCTACATTCCCATTATCTTCATAAATACAGGATAAAAATCAGTCTACATGATTTTCTGAGAACTGCTCAAGGATTACATCAAGCCAGCCATCCCTTAAATGTGTGTGTGTGTGTGTGTGTGTGTGTGTTAAAGATCAAAAGCAAATGTTCTGGTCAGTTGTTTTCTACTCAAGGGTTTTACCAAGACTGTGTGCAGTTTTTTTTTTTTTTTTTTTTTTTTTTGAAAACACCACAAATGACAGCTGTTCAAAAGCATGGAAATTAATTGGCAGAAGGAATTTCCTTGACTAATAGGGAAAAACTCGAAGCCACATGTTTGATGAGCTCGTTTTCCCATCCCTAGTGAAGCACAGTCCCTGTTAGTGATTAGGATTTGCAAACAGAAGCATAAGCAAGGTCCACCCGCCATCTTTCCTTGGTGGGATAGAGCTACCACTCTCCCGTCACTCTGTAGAGGGACGGTGGGACTGACGGGTATGGCTGTAATTAATACAGGGTAAAGGGTCAGCTTGTAAGTCTCCATTTTCTGATGGAATCAGATGGAGGCACGGTAGGAACACTTTACTTACTATATTAAAAATAGGAACAAGTTGCTATTCCCCTCCCCCATGGTAAGCCATCTGCTTTTAGCTGTTTTTCCAGCAGCGAGGATGGATTTATGTTCGCTCTGACACAGGGCTCTAAAGTTGTTGCCTTGTGACCAATGGTGAGAATAGATGAGGCAGCTGGTCAGGATTAGGTGAACAGCTGTGGCCCTGAGACTAGGTTTTGTTACTGTGTGTGGAGCCTGATGCCATGACCTTGGACTCATTAGCAGCAAGCTCTCATCGCCCAAGCCAACAGCCACTGAGCAACCATGACCCCACATACATCACTCTGGGGTACAGTGTATTCCCAGCCCCAGCCATGATACCTATGGGTTCACGGGAATAGCATGGGGAGGAGGGTATACTTGAAAACAGTCCCCTGAAGGAAGCAATCAGAGATCCAAGAGTGAACAAGGATCCCCTTCCTTCCAGCCTAAGCAAATACAACTGCTTATGGAGTTTAAGAAAAACATTCACCCGGAAGCCCCCAGGCTTCTGAAGCAAGTGTTCCACACGCCATGCTGAGAAGCATACCTGGCCATCCCCAGGCTTGCAAAGTTGGCGGGTACAATGAGTATGTCCAGCCGGGAGAAAGGGTGTGTTCCCAGGACAGAGTATGCAGCTGAGAGGCAAGGGGGGACCAGCCACAGCAGGGCCTCTTGGCAGGCAGCCTCGAGGCACAGTGGGGCGAACACTCGATGAGGAATGGTCTCCTGGGTGGCAGCGGCAGCATTTTGGAATCGGCAGGGGTATTCTACATGACTGCAGGTGTCGGCGGACCTGGGGCAACACATAAGAAGAGATGCAGACAACTTTGAGAAGACAGTGGTTCAAACAGGCGTATTGGATTGACAAAGGCAGTTCCTGTCAATTATTGGCTTGTCTGCTTTGGCATAGATAGCAGTGAAAGAGAAAAAAAAAAAACAGATCAAAATATTTATCTATGTGCTTGAGGTGACTTCAATCTGAGTCACATGAAAGCAAAAAGACCCTGTTTTAGATGAATAGGGTGGGGTGGGGTAGGGAGGGGAAGGATTTAGAACAAGAAAACCACCTTCCACCCAGATTAAAGCAAGTTCTACCCTCAGTAATGTGCTTCCAAATGCTACCATAGAAAAACTGCCCAGAGGATTGACAGTTCTTAGAAAGGGAGCCATGAAGGAGCCATTTTATTTAACTTTCACTGTGTGAGACCTCATGTAACCCAGGTAGTTTTGAGCCTGTGATGTCGCTGAGGCTGCCCTTGAACTCCTAGTTCCTCTGCCTCCACCTCTTGAGTGTTGGAGCTACAGGTTGAGTCACTATGTACCTGGGTCTAAGCAAATCAATGGCTCCATTCTGGAATATCCTACAGTAAACGATTTGGGATGAGGTAAGACAAAGACAGTTACACACAAACCATCCTATCAAAAAACAACCTAGGAATCCTTCACCAAACACATCAGAAGCTGTTGCTGAGAAAAACAGAGGCACGTCTAAGTGTTTTCTCCACTACACCCTTTGGGTGTTTGAGACAGGGTCATATGCATCCTAGGCTCATCTATCTCAGAGCTGAAGATGGCCTTGAGTTCCTGATCATCCTGCTTCTCGCTGCCTCTTGTGTATTGCTGGCATACGCCTGATTTACATGATGCTGGGACTCGAACCCAGGGCTTCCTGCATGCTCATCAAGTACTCTACCAACAGAGCTCTAGCTCCAGTTCCTTTCTAATGAACTTTCGGTATAAATTTAAGGAAGTCAACCTTCTAAGGAAGCAAGACCAGAGTGCAGTCAGCCCCATCTGACTAGTTACTCCCTGAAAGACGAAGGCGGAGCCGAAGGAAAATTCCTAGGGCCTGACTCACTGGTCTCAAGAGAACTTATCCAAAGAAACCAACATCAAAGAGAATTCTATTTTTTCATCTGTTAACATGTCCTCGATTCAGACACAATGGAAAACCCCTGTAACTTTAAATTGCAGATTATAACTCTAGCTGTGGGTGCTCCTGTGATTCACCACCAATACTGCAGGATCTCTAAGCGCCTGCCTGCCTGCCTGCCTGCCTGCTTCAATTTGGGCAGGTTGCAACAGTAATTCCTCTTTAGATTTATGAAGTATCTGCCACCCGCCCAAGGCCTGTGATCAAGAGATCCACATAGCTATGTAAACAAGCCCCACCCACCACTGGGCTTCAAGGATACATGTCTCGCCCCAGTGAGACCAGGTTACGGTTGAGGGTGGGTTAGAAAAGTGGGAGACCCATGAAAACTGCCAAGAGAGAGTGACAGCAAGAATATGGTCACTGACACTGAATTTGAGTCAAAGTTCAGGGCTGATAATGTCACCTTACAGGAAAGAAAGCAAAGGTGTCTACTTGTGAACACTCAACGCCTACCTAATGACCACCAACAGAAGTCGCCTGGTCAGCTTCTGTGGACTTTTTAAAATGTATTTACACAGGAAAACAATGTCTTGTGGTGGTATTTTAAGCACCCATACTGGCTACTGAAGAGCTTTTCCAGACCGACAATGGTGGCAATATGTCTGTATGTCTGTAACCAACACTTGGAAGGTAGAGACAGAAGAATCAGGGGTTCAAGGTGAACATGGGCTACATGAGACCCTGCCTCATAAAGCCACCCCCAAAAGGCTTTTAGAAGCCAAGTGTGGTGACAGGGTACACTGGGGAAGCTGGGGTAAGAGTGCTGTGGATTTGACACTAGCCTGGACTATGAGTTCCAAGCCAGCTCAAGACCCTGTCTCAAAAACCTGAAGTGGGGCCTTTAAAGCATGTTACCTTAAGCTGGAACTCTCTGGACAGAGCAGGGGAGTCAGTTTAAGGATTAAGCTCCACAATGCCACAGTACAGAGAGGCATTCTGTCTAGAAACTGCCTATTCCCATGGAGCGAGATTATTTCTTACACCTAAGAAAACCAGAGATTAAGGAACAGAGTGAAGATGGCAAAGGTACACCAGACAATCCTGTTTGTTTGAGGAAAAAAGATAAATTATTTTCTTTCCAGGGATACTTGATGCTTGCCAAACTAATGAGGGTGATTACTGATACATGACTTAATACCCATTTCCATAAAACTCAAGCAGTCGAGCTGCAGGCGGACTAAGGCTCGTGGCAGGATAGATAAATGCATGAGGGGTGCCACTTGTGAGCTCCTATGTAAGGACCAGGGCACCTGGGCTTCGGTGGCCATGCTCAGGTCAGCTGTGACCATGGCCAGGACTTCAGTATTTGGTGCCCCTTTCTTCATCTCTCCTTGGTCTCACCAGTGTGGCAGATGAGGAAGGGTAGGAGGGGACTCTGACATGACAGAATGTCCCCAGTCAGGTTGTGTTCATAGTGGACTGAAACAACCTGCGGTATGTCACGGTGGGTGTCAATCACATACTGAAATGCTTCCCAAGGTTTCTCCTTGCAAAGATGACTCTGGCAACTCCCTTCGAAGCCCCGTTCATGAAGCAGCTAAGGGGATGCAGGGCTTGTGTAACAGACAGACACAGTGACTAGAGATCCTTTCTCTTCCTTTCATGGCGGCTCTCCCTCAGCGTTTCCCCACCCTGCCTTCCCTTCTGCAGTGAGTCATCTCAGTGTCTTTAACGAGGTGCCAGGTTTTCAATGTCTTTCATCACTTTCCTTGGGTTCTTCTGGAGGCTATTCAAGCTTCCATGCCGAGCTTAAGTTGTATGACCCAAGATGAAGGCCTGAGAGGTTAAACACAAAACAAAACTCTCCTGTAGTTAGGACCAAAATAAAATTAATGCACATTGGACTGTTTACCCGTTGTTAGCCTATGTGTTTACTAAAATTTTCATTCCAAGTGCACTGGAAGAGTCTCCCCCCACCCCATCATAATTTAGCTCCCATGAATAGTGATCAAAACTCAGTAACCAATCCTTGGGCTAAATTTCTAGAACCCAGATGAACACTCAGGCAAATGGAAGCCATGGCATGCAAGGCTCCTGTAAACATTAGACTGAAATGAATGAGGCTGGTGGGAAGGAGGGCTGCGAAGGCAGGCCTCATCAGATGTGAGCACGGCCAGAAACACCAACACGGCATGATGGCACAACAGAGCCACTCAACCCACGGAGCCAGGAATGTGGTAGATAAACAGAACCACTCTAACTACCAGAGATGGTCAAATGAGGCATGATGGCATAGCAGAATTAAAAAAAAAATCTAAGCTTTATTACCTGTATAATTCTGATGGACAAACATGCAGGTAAACGAAAGGAAACTGCACTGACAGTCAGGGAAGGTGGTGTGGAAGAGTTCATTCCACAGCACTACCCCACTTCAACCCTTGCACAGAACAACACACAACAAAACTCCTGGGAGCTTTGGAGTGAAGCAACAACAAGCCGCTCCTCGTTTCCCTGACTGACTGGCGTTTTGGGACCTACTTGTCTGATGAGGATTTTCTCAGGTCTGCTGCTGGCCTAGGATCCCTGCGAGGTTGGTAACTGACATGAAGTGTTAGGAAACCTGGCACCCATGTACTCAGCCCAACCTGTCAGGGACCAGATCCTTCTTTATGCTCTTCAGCTGGTTCCAAACACACAAGGCCGGAAGGGAAATAGGATTTCCCTCCCCAGGCCCCATAGGGACTTCCGCAGCTCCCTTTTTCCCAGGCCCCCCATCTGACCTGGCCACCCTCTCTTCTGCTCACCATGGCAGAGACAAATGAAAAGGGATTCCAACTATTCTGAGCAAGGGCCCCAACTCAACCTCATCTCTTGGCCTTCATTTCCTAATGATCAATGAGACTGGAGACTATAGGTGACCAACAGAGATCTTCTTCACCACTAAGAATTCATGGACAAAGTCTTCATTGTGGGGAAAAAAACAAAACAATGTGGGTCACCACAGTGCCATACCCAGGCAATAAGGATGACATTCTTGGGCTCCAGGGAACCTCAGTTTGTGCTTTCTTTTTCAAAAAGTATATTTATTTTGTATGTGTGACAACAAGGGGTTCATGTAGAGGTCAGAGAGTTAACTCTTAAAAGTTAGCTCTCTCCTTCCAATATGTGGATTCTGGGGACTGAACTCAAGCCATGAGGCTTGATGACAAGAGCCTTTCCACTGAGCCCTTTTGCACTCCTCGACTGCTGTTTCTCTGAGGATACTCTCCAGGAAGTACCAATAGCTAAGTCGTGGTGGTGACTCCAGGTTAGACGATGGCTGTGAGGTGTCTTCTGAGGTGGCTGAGTTGTAGTAGTCTCTAGGAAACAGTCTAGGTCGCCTCTCTAGAACCTAGACCTGGTTTGAACAAATACAGGTGCTGTTCCTCAGTCAATAGGAAAACAAACAAATTATTGTCTGAACTTCTTTATCCTCAGCAATGACTGAGAGTAGCAGAGCCAATACATCTTGCGGGCTACAGAACACTCGCTGCAGGCAGCCAATGGCTTCCTCGTGGGTTCAGGATCAGCTGGGACACACTTCAGTCACAACCGCTACGGCCCACGCCAGAGCCTCACCACAAGAAGATGTACTTGTCGCTCACACCGACTCTCTTGTCTTCCTCACTCAGAAACGTGGGCTATTTACAATCACAAAACGAAGTGTGCTGTGTGGTTCCACAGCAAGGGAAGGGAACAATGGAGAGTCTCACTTGCAATTAAGTATTCCCGCATGAAAGCAGTGTATGCCACTTCTGCCCATAATTACCCTTTTCCCTTGAGAGAATGCAAATAACATCTAATCATCTTTCCTGAGCCATTAGGAAAGACACTCCAAAACTGACGTATTATTGAGCAAAGAGTAAAAAACAGTTCTATGCTACCAAAAAGACGTAACGTAGTCAGTAAGATGTGCTTGTCAGAGGAGAAGCCACCTGGTGTCAACTTGTAATGAAACCACCACAGCCACTGTGGTGAGAGAAAAACAGCATAAAGAGACCAGCACAGAAGGAGTGGACACTAACACGTCCTCCTGGCCTCTTGTTCTGTTTTGTTTGTTTGAGGCAAGGTCTCATCTCACACAGGGCTGGCCGTGGACGTGCCAAGTAAACCCCTCCTCTCCCTGTGCCCCTTCTTCCTCTCACTGCACCCCTCCCTCTCGCTGCACCCACCCCTCCCTCTCGCTGCACCCACCCCTCCCTCTCCCTCCCTCCCTCCCTCCCCCTCCACCCCCCCCCCCCTCCCCCCCCCCCC